ATGTCAAAATAAACCGTTAAGATACATTACATACTTGTTTCCGATGTTTTTGTATTCATTTCGGTACTGTATTCACCTTCCCCAACAATAGTAGATGCAGACACCTGAAAATAATCATAATTTTATGCAATAATAGATAACATGTAATATGAAATTGAATAACATTATTATACTTAAATGTGTTCTCTTTTAACAACTATCTATGCTTGCATCTCCTCCTCCTCCTCTTATATTCATTTGAACCACAGTAGCTCTAAAATAAGCACATCTCCAATAGAAGTGCATATAAACAAAGTTTAGTGTAAAACTGGATCATTAACTTATGAATTATTTTGAATAACAGACATACCTCTATCAGTTATGTAGGTTATTAATTGAGTAAATATTATTTTTATAATTTTTTTAAATAATGCCATATAATTGATAATAATAACAACTGATATTTACTGAATCTTTACGAGTATGTTAACAGAAAAAAAAACTGACTACATATACACCACAATCTACCATAGTCAATCTTCGTTCAAACAAATATCCCACTTGTGAATATTGCAAAATCAAACTTGTTTACAAAAACAGTCCGCTTACTAAAAAATGTTTTCAACCATGAAACAGTCATTTCCTATTAAATGGGTAATTTTTCAAACGAGCATATTAGTAAACGCAAAACAAAATTAAACTTTCCGTTTAATTGCTAACAAAGTATACCTACTTACATTTTTTGTTATTGAATGTCAGCATCTTACTTGGAACAATGGGTAAGTGACAAAGAGTGGTATAACTCACTATTATAGTATAGTTAACTTCGTAATCCAGATTATAGATATTGAGTTCATGTGCACTACCATTATCTACCAATATATCTTTTTTTGTACTTTCATCACCTGTTTTCCAATATGTTATTTTATAAGCTGTTATTATTCCATTGGGTGGGTCTGGTTCTAACCATGTAACAGTAATTGCGTACACTGCTGGTTGTAGTGTTACATTTCTAGGCCTAGAAGGAACTGTAATACAAATACATACAGTATAGTATAATATATTATAGGATGTTATTATGCCATTGGTTGGGTCTGGTTCTTACCATGTAACAGTAATTGTATACACTGCTGGTTTAGTGTTACATTTCTAGGCTTAGAAGAAACTGTAATACAAACACATACACATACAGTATAGTATAGTATATTACAGGATGTTATTATGCCATTGGTTGGGTCTAGTTCTAACCTTGTAACAGTAATTGTATATACAGCTGGTTGTATGTTACAGTTGTAGACTTAGAAGCAATAGCAAAATACATTATTTTATGTTATAGGTATTTATTATGCCATTGGTTGGTATGGGTTTAGCTATATAACAGTTAGTGTAATGGACAACCATGGACAAAACATACATGTATTCAGCAGCTTGTGAATGATAAATCAACTTACCATCCTCATGTGATATAACGATCACTGAATTACTTGGTGGACTTGTAGCATCAGCATTTCTAAGCAGAGCAATGACTTCATACTCTGTGTATGGTAGTAATGATTCAGCAGTAAATGGGATAACTTTTGTACCCATGACAGTTTCCTGATAAATTTCTATCTTTCCAATCTCATATTCATCCTCTGTACCTGCCTTTCTATACTTCACTTCAATGTAATCAATGTAACCATCCACACCATCTTTTTTACACTTTATATCACTACTATCAGGAATCTGAAATATTGAAACAATAACACACTGTAAATTGTAAACACTATCAATACAAATACATATAAAATAAGTGTGTGGCAAGCTGCATTTAAACTGTACTATAATTACATTTATAAAACTTGAGATACTTTTAATACTCAATGAATAGAGTGATTGTACTTATTGTTAAACAGATTTAAATATGTAAAACGTTAGACTTAATATCCCACTGTATCATTTTAACTGTCGCCTGAGGGCGCTTGTCTCTGATCGATACTATCTCTTTTTTTTTACTTGCTGGCTATTGCTACTCAAATTAGCAAATATTTCTAAAATTCCAGCCTCCCACTCGGTACAAACTACAGGCATTATGCCAGTAATTATTAAGTCTTTGATATTGCTATAAAAGTACGAAGTATGGCATATTATACACTAATATAAATACAATATTAGACAGAAATAATTCGTTTAGTCTATTGGTGATAAATTCATTTTGCATATAGTATATTGCTTGAAAATAATCGGGCAACATTTTTATAACACAATGCTACACGCTTCAATGGCTAGTCACTGAGTGTTTCCTCTTAATTAATAATGGCCCAAGAGAAATCATTGACGACACTTCTTTTAAGGGTTGTGCATGTTGAAGTGTAGTTTACTCTGAAGTCAAAATGTTCCTATTACTAAAGTTTACTTGAAAAACAATGCCAGAATTCTACTGGATATCACACGGTGTCTAGTCCGGCAAATTACCTAACACCTTCACTTTAACAATGCATTTGGCCCAGTGTTGAACATACGATGCTCAGTAATAACATGAATGCTAGATCAATATAGCTACAGTTAATGTTTTGATATTATTTATCACTCGATGATGATGTATGACTAAAAAGTAATTACAATATAATGAAAAAAAAATTAAATACACCCTAGCATAATTACAAAAGGACAATTACACCATTTTAGATCATTAATAGAGAAATATGCAAAAAACGACGCTCCTATCAGAATGATATTGCATATATCAAAGTGTTACATGAATGCGGAAGTGAGGGTGAACCATAAACTTGACTGGATTTCAGATTAAAATTGTCTAATAATAATAAATAGAGCGTCTCACACAAAAACTACAATATATGAGTATGACAGCTGTCCATGTCCAAAATAAAAAAAAAACTTATGGTGACTATTATGACCTGTTAATGTACCAAGTTAAAACGTAATCAATCAAAGCATGTGTGAGAAATAACTTCAGATATGCAAAAAAAATATCAGGTATCTAAACATTATAGCAAGTTTGAAAAAAAAGTGGCCGCCAGTTGGTCCTTTTGAATAAAAATATACAAAAACTGGACATACACAATACACACAATATGTACAACCTTCATAACTTTCACAAAGTTGGAAAAATTCGGTCTAAGTGTGTCCGGTTTTAGTGCAAATCTGAAGAGAATCTGGAAACTAAACGAACAGATATACAAACAGACAGAGACAAGACCACACGAACCCGTTTTGACCATGACGCTATCACAAAATTATCTCATGGGAATATGCATTCGACTAGGTTTTAAGCATGTGAGAGGACTGACAACATTGGGAAATTTACAGTATCAAACGATGTGTTCCTTCCTTCTTATAGAAAATGTCCGCGCCGCTGTATTTGGGGGATGTTAAGGTGAATTATAATTACGTAATTTCTTTTTCACACAATTTTTAAATGCGAATTTATTACTGTAGTTTCAACTTTTATAGAGCAATTACATCTTTGTCGGGAATAAACATTGTCATTGACGATGAATAACTCATATCCACCAACAATGCTTGATGGCCTTTACGTGGACTGATTCATAACTATTAAATAGCGTCACACGGTGATATGCTAAAACACTGGTCAAAAATGTTCTTGTCTTGCGCTGCTCTGTATAAGTAAAATTGAATTTCTTAGGCTTACCAAAGTCAGACTCTACCCATTTTTGACATTCTACACATTATTTCAAACTGTAGGTTTGTCCACCTTGAATCAGATCATTGAAAAAAGCATGTGAATATGTTCGATATATTTTATTTGTGAACTTGATTAGTTCAAGCATGAGTGAGCTAAGGTTGACTGTAGACGGACGAACGAACAAACGCACGGACGCACAATCAATAGTCAATCCGTTCAAACTGGTACAATTGCGTTAAAACCGGTACTATAAGGGGAAACATATGTAAAAAGGAAAATTTTTGTTTTGATCAACATTTTGACAAATAAACTTTGTTTTGTCGAAAATGTATAATGGAAACATCTATTTCCTTGATTTTTCAGAATTATAAGAACTTGCAGTGATAAAGTAGTTCAATGAATGTTTACCTGAACATGAACTTCGAGTTGTTTCAACTCAGGTGAAAATACATTCATAATTGTTGGTTCTTGTGAGGCTGTAATATAATCGAAAATGTATGTAAAGTTCAAAATAAAATCTTTGAAGAAACTTTAAATGTTAAAATTAATTTTAAACGCAAAGCTAAATATTTTACAAATTCATTTGCAATTTAATGTGTTGAGGAATGTAACTCTTTTAAACATATTTGAAACATATGTTTTGTCTACCTTTTAGTCTTGTAATGTAGTATATGTTTTATCCTTTTTTGTGCAATTAATCTAGGACCAATCATATAGAGGTTGGTATAGATTATGATGGAATTTTGGTTCACTTACTATAGTTTGTGGTTTTAAAGCGTCTATATACATGCATACTAGTGTAAGACCATTGTTGCTAGATTCGTTTTCATGAATTAGGGTTTGCAATATTCCTACTCAAATCTTTCAATCATACACGATCGTTCACAAAATCGTACAGTCAATCCCGGCAATCAGTTAAGTGGACGTGCTTCGGGAGAATAATTGTTCTAATTTGCGATAATAAATTGAAATAATGGCATGACACGTACTGTCCGTGTAAATGGATGGACGAAGTTATTGGTTATGTATCAGAATGCAGGTTGAAACAATTACACCAGAATCATATTGATGCAATGCATTATTTTAATGTGAATGCTGATGAATTAATATACAACTTTCTTTAAAAAACCTCGCTCACTATGTTTTTGATATGTATCGGTAAATATGTTATAATATGTTTATCATTGTATGCTTGAGAGTAAAATAACATATTTAGTGGGAAATAATAACTTTAATCGCCAAATACACGCATTTTTACTTGTGAGGTCTTTTATAATCTACCATCCAAAAAATATACAAAGTGGAATAGAACAAAATAGTTCTTGCTTTGCGTCACCTTATGCTAGATTGTTCAAACTATATTGGATGTGAAGGTGAAGTATGACATTTTATGTGGGAGTATGATAGTGATGTTTGAATCACATAAATTCAATAAGAATATAACTAAATTAATTCAATAATATAGAATATAATCCTACATACTTGCACACAGTGTAGTTCCTATAATAGTAGTGTCTTTACTTCCTTCGCCAAGTGGACCCGGTCTTTTAACAATCACTGTAATTTCATATTGAGTAGACCACTGTAATCCTTTAATGGTTGATGTATAACTCATCTGACTTGAATCACTGACTGGTATAACTTGACCTGATATCCAGTCATTCTCATCACTCTCTCTGTAGTATAATTTGTGAGATTCAACTGGACCATCTCCAATATCATCAGTAGTCCATTTGTTCCAGGTCACAGTGAGCTTGTCAAAACTTACATCTATATCTGGCTTGTTGGTGTCACTAAATCTAGGTAGGCCTATTTAGAGATGAAAAGCAGAATGACTGTTAATATATAAATTTATATATTGTATCCAGTGATATCACTATCCATAATATAAAATAAATATATAGATATATATAATATAAAATAAATACATTTTTCATCAGTAATAGTGACACCTGTTGTTTAGTATGATGGATCCCCGCGGGTAACCGTATATATATGTGTGTGTATGTGAATATGTATGAATTACAGAATGAAAACTATTGTTTCATTGACCTGAACTTGTACAAGATATTTAATATTACATTATGTTCAACAATAATTATTAGAATTTAATTATTATTATACACTATAGAAGGATTCAAATATTTCATTACCATAAAACTGCACACTGGTCGATCCTAAAAATCCAATTGAATTACCACAGGAGTACATATCACCACTATCTACAACAACACTGGTAGAATTGCCAAAGATAATATATTTACTACTTCCTGTATTGGTTAGAGTCAGATAGTTACTTGTACCAGATTTCCATATCTTTAAGTCATTAGAGTCAAAAACAGGATTACCACTGACTTCACAGTAGAAGTTGGTAACTTCGCCGGGATTTACTTTGTGGTTAAAAAAACGCGTACATTTGAGAGTGCCATCTTGGGTTATGGAAAAAAAAAAGATAACAGTCACTATCACCATTTGAAGAGAGAATGTTTTCACAATGCGAGATACATAATTCACCATGGAAACCAGTGATTAGAAATACAAACCTTGTTGACAATCAGAATCTATAGTATCTAGATTTATCCATCCTGGTGCACAATCTCCATTTGGACAAACACCAGTTTTCTTATCACATGATGCATTGTTTTCACAATGACAATTATATTTACATAATTTACCATAGAATCCAGTGATTTGAAATACAAACCTTGTTGACAATAAGAATCTATAGTATCTAGATTTATCCATCCTGGTACACAATCTCCATTTGGACAAACACCATTGTTCTTATCACATGCTGCATTGTTTACACAATGACAATTATATTTACATAATTTACCATAGAATCCAGTGACTTAAAATACAAACCTTGTTGACAATCAGAATCTATATTATCTAGATACATCCATCCTGGTGCACAATCTCCATTTACACAAACACCAGTGTTCTTATGATATGCTGCATTTTTTACACAATGACAATTATATTTACATAATTTACCATAGAATCCACCGATTTGAAATACAAACCTTGATGACAATCATAATCTATAGTATCTAGATTTATTCATCCTGTTGCACAATCTCCATTTGGACAAATACCAGTGTCCTTAACACATGCTGCATTATTTTCACAATGACAATTATATTTACATAATTTACCATAGAATCCAGTGACTTAAAATACAAACCTTGTTGACAATCAGAATCTATAGTATCGAGATTTATCCATCCTGTTGCACAATCTCCATATATACAAACACCAGTGTTCTTATCATATGCTGCATTCTTTACACAATGACAATTATATTTACATAATTTATCATAGAATCCAGTGATTTGAAATACAAACCTTGTTGACAATCAGAATCTATAGTATCTAGATTTATCCATCCTGGTGCACAATCTCCATTTGGACAAACACCAGTTTTCTTCTCACATGCTGCATTGTTTTCACAATGACAATTATATTTACATAATTTACCATAGAATCCAGTGATTTGAATTACAAACCTTGTTGACAATAAGAATCTATAGTATCTAGATTTATCCATCCTGGTACACAATCTCCATTTGGACAAACACCATTGTTCTTATCACATGCTGCATTGTTTACACAATGACAATTATATTTACATAATTTACCATAGAATCCAGTGACTTAAAATACAAACCTTGTTGACAATCAGAATCTATAGTATCTAGATTTATCAATCCTGGTTAACAATCTCTATTTACACAAACACAAGTGTTCTTATCATATACAGCATTGTTTTCACAATGACAATTATATTTACAAAATTTACCATATAATCCAGTGATTTGGCATACAAACCTTGTTGACAATCAGAATCTATAGTATCTAGATTTATCCATCCTGGTGCACATTCTCCATTTGGACAAACACCAGTGTTCTTATCACATGCTGCATTGTTATTACAAAACAATTATAGTTACATAATTACCATACCAACCAGTGATTTGAAATACAAACCTTGTTGACAATCAGAATCTATCGTATCTAGATTTATCCATCCTGCTCCACAACCTCTATTTATACAAACACCAGTGTTCTTATCACATGCTGTTTTTTCACAAATGACATTTATTGTTACATTATTTAACATACCTACCAGTCATTTGAAATACAAACCTTGTTGACAATCAGAATCTATAGTATCTAGATTTATCCATCCTGGTGAACAATCTCCATTTGGACAAACACCAGTAATCTTATCACATGCTTGATTGTTATTATAAAGACAATTATAGTTACATAATTTACCATACCAACCAGTGATTTGAAATACAAACCTTGTTGACAATCAGAATCTATAGCATCTAGAATAATCCATCCTGGTGCACAATCTTCATTTGGACAAACACCAGTGTTCTTATCACATGATGGAATTTTTTTACAAAGACATTTATAGTTACTTAATTTAACATACCTACCAGTCATTTGAAATACAAAACTTGTTTGTATCTAGAATCTATAGTATCTAGATTTATCCATCCTGGTGAACAATCTCCATTTGGACAAACACCAGTAATCTTATCACATGCTGCATTGTTTTTACAAAGACAATTAGAGTTACATAATTTACCATTCTTACCACTCATTTGAAATACAAACCTTGTTGACAATCATGAATCTATAATATCTAGATTTATCCATCCTGGTGCACAATCTCTATTTGGACAAACACCAGTAATCTTATTACATGCTTGATTGTTATTACAAAGACAATTATAGTTACATAATTACCATACCAACCAGTGATTTGAAATACAAACCTTGTTGACAATCAGAATCTATAGTATCTAGATTTATCCATCCTGCTCCACAACCTCTATTTATACAAACACCAGTGTTCTTATCACATACTGCATTGTTTTTTACAATGACAATTATAGTTACATAATTTACCATACCAACCAGTGATTTGAAATACAAACCTTGTTGACAATCAGAATTTATAGTATGTACTAGATTTATCCATCCTGGTGCAGAATCTCCATTTGGAAAAACACCAGTGTTCTTATCACATGCTGCATTGTTTTCGCAATGACAATTATAGTTACATAATTCACTATACCAACCAGTCATTTGAAATACAAACCTTGTTGACAATCAGAATCTATAGTATCTAGATTTATCCATTCTGGTGCACAATCTCCATTAATACAAAAACCAGTGTTCTTATCACATGCTGCATTGTTTTTACAATGACAATTATAATTACATAATGTGCCATAAAAACCAGAAGGACAAGAAGATGGTACTGAAATCAAGAAACATTGAATTACATTACAATAGTACTAATAACTAATGCTTTACATTTTACATGAGATGTGTGTGCTGGTGCACAAAACAGTTAAACTTTGTAACAAGACACTCGTATGTACCCACAAATGTATTTGACAAGGTTTTTAAAACATGGGATATTACGATCAACAGCGAATCCCGAGTAAAACACTTGAAATTGGGTATTCTACTGTAGAATTGCATTACAGTACTGCACTACCGAGTGACAGTAGTGAACAACATTGGCCACAATCATAGGTTATGTCAGCGCCAGGACAACAGACTATCCCAAGCAATGGCAATGACAATGTTATTGTTTTAACATGGTAATTCCTTTCATTGATATAAATATATGTGGACAAATCTCTAGTTCTATCATGAAATTACTACAATTTTGCATCACAGTCAGAGACTCGAAATTAATTCTT